GAATTTCGAACGCAACTGCTTAATTTAGTAAGTGCTAGGTATTTGGATTAGAGCTCGCTCTTGTTGATTTTATTTCAGATTTATAATTTTCCATTTGGTGTTTTAACTTATGCTATATCGGTTTCTGAATTTGTTACTAAATATTTTTGCTAATTGTGCAATGAAATTTGATACTGCTACTTGATTGTTCAATGTGGAATGAATAGGTTTCAAACATGATTTGAAAATTGAATTTTGGTTGAGAGCATCAACATCAATGTAGTTGGAATAGTAGATCTATGACTTTAACACCATACTTTTAGATCATTAGAGTGAACTTAATACTCTTAAGTGGATTTTTTTCACACTTATGTAGAAAGAAGTTGTTCTAAGACTTGCTAAATTTACTTTGACAGTGCTGCGGCATAATCATTTCAATCTTATTTAGAAACGAGGTTGCTGTTTCTTCTCGATTTCATTTCACCTTTGTCTTTTGTAGGAGAACTGTTAGCCTTCATAGGAAGTTACTTGGTCGTTTCCATAACCCGTACACCAATTTGACTGGGTACAAGGACCGCTCTGTGGCAACTGCTACACCTCGGTCATCTTCGGTTCCTTCTCAGAGACCTAATGCAAGTAAATCCTCAGCATTGCCTCCGCTACAAAAAAGTTCTCCGGCGCTACATGCCTCTGCTCCACCTCCTTTTGTGCCCCTTTCAAATTTTCCTAGTCTAAGAAGAAGCTCCACGGCTTCTAAAAAGAGCATGGTTCCGATAGTAGCTAGCTGCATAGGCGGTGCTGTGTTTATTCTCCTTTTAGCTACTGGTGTTTTCTTCTTCAGAAGTAAGGCAGGGAAGTCTGTGAATCCTTGGCGTACAGGTCTTAGTGGACAACTTCAGAAAGTGTTTATAACTGGTAATTGTCTTTTTACTCGCTGGTACGATATGTAAAGTGATATTGTTAGTTCTGGAAGATGGAAGTTAACCTTGATGTCCAAAATGCGTGGGAAATTGACGCGCTTGTCTATTTTTCAACTCACCATTTGTTTTGGATTGAACACTAATGTTGTCTGATTTGGTATTCAGGTGTCCCCAAACTCAAAAGATCTGAGATCGAAGCTGCTTGTGAAGATTTCAGTAATGTCATTGGATCTTGCCCCATTGGTACATTGTTCAAAGGGACACTATCGAGTGGGGTGGAGATCGCGGTGGCTTCTGTTGCTACTGCGTCTGCTAAAGAATGGACAAATAACATAGAAATGCAGTTCAGGAAGAAGGTATTTCCGGTCAATCAGTTCCCTTATATTTTTAAAGGATTTTGATTTCTATCGCCTTATCATTTATGTTTTTGATAATTTCAGATTGAAATGTTATCCAAGATAAACCACAAGAATTTTGTCAACCTCCTTGGCTACTGTGAAGAAGATGAACCTTTCACTAGGATCTTGGTCTTTGAATATGCATCAAATGGATCAGTCTTTGAACATTTACACTGTAAGCAAAAAAGCCCTTAAGTTAGTCACATGAGTCATTACACTGTAATTTGGCTCGTTATCTTTACGATCTTAAATGTGAAACAATATTACTTTTTTTTTTGTAGATAAAGACTCAGAACACTTGGACTGGGTAATGCGGCTAAGAATAGCAATGGGCGTAGCATATTGCCTTGACCACATGCACGGGCTCAAGCCACCTATAGTCCATAGCAACCTTCTCTCGTCATCGGTTCACCTCACAGAGGATTACGCAGTCAAAATTGCAGATTTCAATTTTGGTTACCTAAAAGGCCCATCCGAGACAGAAAGCAGCACCAATGCACTTATAGACACGCACATCTCAGTCACAACCCAAGAAGACAACGTTCACAGCTTTGGTTTGCTGTTGTTCGAATTGATGACCGGAAAACTCCCAGAGTCAGTTAAAAAAGGCGACTCGGTAGATACCGGATTGGCTGATTTCTTGAGAGGAAAGACGCTAAGGGAGATGGTGGATCCGACTCTGGAATGCTTTGATGACAAGATCGAGAATATAAGCGAAGTGATCAAAAGCTGTGTAAGGGCAGACCCGAAACAGAGACCAACAATGAGGGAAGTGACTGGGAGATTAAGAGAGATCACGGGATTATCACCGGATGATGCCATCCCGAAACTTTCGGCTCTCTGGTGGGCAGAGCTGGAAGTAATGTCCACTGCGTGAAGAGAGTGTACTACTTTGCTTCTACGACGAATGTAAGTATTAATGTGAAGATTGTGTGAGGTTTTTGAGTCTCTTTGGAGCTCGTCGTTCCTTCTCTTTAGGCTACTTTCATCATCTATATATAAATCTACGCGAGTTAGTTTATATAACGACTCAAAATCTCCCGTAAAAAGAATTCGAGGTCGCGGTATTACTCTTTCTTGGTGTGCAAAATGTTCGTGGTGTTTAAAGTTTTTTGGAATTAGCTTGTTTAAAACATGAATAATGAATGTTTCTAAATCATCAATTTCTGTTTCGACCAAAAGAAATCATCAATTTCGGAAGCAAGGAAGTATCTATCGATAACTAGGTATCAATTTCTGTTGATTCCTGTTTAGCG